GCCCAACTCAACAGAAAACAGAGGGGGAAAACGGCTCCGTTTTCACAGAGAGGTATTTCAGAATGATCCATGTGTTCCTTTCACTCACTTTACTGAATTAACATTTTCTTATTGTTTGACATTGTTAAACTCACACTGTTTCCAGGTTAAAGTCCAGAATGAGCTCAGTGATGAAATGTTCACGAGTACATGGCACTATGCCAAGGACATTGTGAACAGGGAGACGGTGCGTGGGACCACATCAGGATATCGCAACTATGATTTTCACGAGAAACATGACAAGTCAGAGGTCTGTTAAATATCATATTTGCTCTTTTAACTGCAAATAAAAAGAGGTTATGAAATAGGACTAAAGGTTATGAAATAGGATTGGAGTATCTTTAAAAGTTTTAAAAGTTTTAAATTATAAGGCAGTAGTAGATGCACATAGTGGAGGATGTTTTTCTCTTGTTTTTTTGCTCTTGCCAGCAGATGGGTTTAAAGTGGTTTCTATGAAAATGTATTGTCTGATTTGGTCCTGACATTGATATCTGCATTAGACTATGGGCTCTTCAAAGGAAGAGTGGGTTTATCTTTGTTCTCTGCTTTATTCAGTTAACAAGAGTCAGTTTTGCGACTGACCAATTGGACTGGCAGTTAGTGACATCAAATTGGATTGGCTGTTTACATGAAGCGATAGGCATCCTGACACTTTTACTAGAAAAAGATGTAACCTCGGGGATAAAGAGAGATTGAATTGACAAAACAGAAAACATAGAAAAATGATCAATTATTGCAAAATTCAAGACAAAGAAATCACAGAAAGTTGTTTCATGACTAGAGTGTCTGGATGTTCACAGACCTACTACAGGCTCACTTCAAATTAGAATAATTAAGTTTTCTTATTCTTATCACAACATTTTGAATATTGATGGATTTGTTTAAATGGCCTTTGATTGGCATGTTTCTTAACCTACATTTAACTTTATCATTGATAGATTTTAACCATCTTTAGTGTTGAGGTCTGTTTTTTTAAAGTCCTGCTAACTTGTTCAGCCTTTCGTGGCTTTCATCCCAACTGTTCTGAGAATGACAGGAAATGTTATTTATTCTTGCAGAGGTACAGGCTTTTGGTTTTCAAGAGCGAAATAGAGGTGGCTCAATTCCAGAATACGTCTCCCAAGAACCTTCCAATTTCTGAAGTGTTTTGGAAGGCACTGGCCAAACTCCCAAATGTTTATGACTACTCAGCCTACAAGAAGATTTTGGAGCGGTTTGGAACACACTACATATCTGAAGGAAGCCTAGGAGGCTCCTTCAAAGCGATTATATCAATTGATGAAGCAACTGAAAATTACATAGGTGAGTATTCACAGCTCAAAAGAAAAATGTTTAAAAATGTTTAGAATTGATAATAATAGAATTTATAATAATAATAATAATAATAATTCTTAATAATAATAAGAATTTATAATAATTTATAAGAAAGACTATCACTCTCTCTCTCTCTCTCTCTCTCTCTCTCTATATATATATATATATATATATATATATATATATATGAAACAAATGTAAATGCATATATATATATATATATATATATATTTATTTTTAAACAATACTAAACAGAAAAAAACAAATACTAAGACAATGATAAACATGATGCATACTGAAACACATTGCTTTTTAAATGTTCCAAAAGTCCTTTTAATTGTGTAGATACCTGTTTCCTTACATTTGGACAAATAAGAAGAGGCCTATCTGAGTTCTGGCGTACTAAAATTGGAGCACAGTCATCTTACCAGCTCTTTGAAACTTTGATCTGGGCAGAGTGATATTTGAGTATATAAATGCTGAATTTAAAAATAACAAAACAATAAATACATCCAAACACACCCAGGCACACACACAAACATATATATTTTTCAATATGATATTGAAGTAATAGGTTACATTTGAAAAAATAACATATTTTTATCTCACAGTTTTCAATACTTTTCAAAAAGACTAAAACAAAATAGTTGAATCTGTTTAATTTCTCATAGTGTTCATGTTATGTCTATGCATTTAGCAGACACTTTAATTCGAAGCGACTTACAATGATGATAAAACATTTGTTAGAATTAACCTAACAATAAGCAACAAGCTAGAAAACCACTAGTAAGGTTCCAACTGAGGTATTTTCAGTAAATACAAGTGAGCATATACTTTATTTATTTACATTTATATAAAGCTCTTTCCTAATTATGCCATACATTTCTGACACTATTATCTGTTCTTTTTCTGTCGTGATGCAGCCACGGAAAAGTATGAGCATCGTGAATGTACGAAGACTAAACGTTGGATCCTTTTTTTCCCCCTCGTCATAGAGAAGTGTGTGAAGGATGACTATGATCGTCCCAGGGACTGGAGTACGAACAGGATTTTTTTTTCACATATATGACCCCTTAATGATATGAATCCTAATTATTTGTCTCAATCATAAACTCAAACAGATAAAAACAGGAATAATAACGTGGACAAAGTGGATATAGTAGGAGGAGAAGTCTCACATATTTCTGCACTAGAGAAGATGGACCTCACTGATACAGGCACGAACTCAGAACTGTACTCAAACTGGGCTGAATCTGTTAGGTCATTTCCACTGGTTATAAAACAAAAGGTGAGGAAAGAATTGGAACATACGCTTTGAATTTCAGATTCACTGATATGATAGTTGATTTACTTTTGACTGTTTTACCTCTGATTCTAAATCCGAATCTTGTTTTGCTAGCTGCGACTACTGTCCGAGCTTGTGAAGGAAGTTCAGTGTGCAGGGGCAAAGAGAGTTTATCTACGCCGGGCTATACACCAGTATCTCTCAGAGAACCATCCCTGCCACTGCAAGCCCTGCAGAAACAACGGTTTGGCTGTAATGGATGGAAACAAATGTAAATGCATCTGCAAGACTGGCACAGAAGGGCTGGCCTGTGAAAAGGGAACTGAAGCAGAAGGCCAACAGGGTAGCGATTATTAAAATGCTCAATCTCCTGAGTCACAAAGAAACTTAAGTCAAACATCCTCAAATACAATTTAAGAAAGTCTTCCTGTGGCTTCCTTGCTGTTTCTGTCTAACCAGGAGTGATTCATGGTAGCTGGTCCTGTTGGTCTGCGTGGTCTCAGTGCTCTGGGGGTCGTGTCTCACGAAGTCGCTCCTGTTCGAATCCATTCCCTCAGAATGGGGGACAGCACTGCATTGGAGATTCAACTGATACTTCCGAGTGTGATGATGATGAGCTGCAATACTTAATGTCAGAACCAGTTACAGTTTTACTGACTCACATATATTTTGTTTAGATTTTTCCAGACAGCCATTGACAGTTCATGCATTGCGTTTTCGATGTGCAAAAAATGCAACATGCTATTTTGAAAACTTCTCGATAGGACAATGGAGCCACAGTGCTTTGGCAGTACTCTCCAACCAAGTCCCAAGTGTGAAAACCCACCCAATCTAATCAATGGTTTCATCCAGGTATGACGAAGCTGATGAAACTCTGTGAGGCAAAGCAAACAGTCAATTTTTCTTGTAATCTAATAGTGCTGAGAAATACTCCAAAGTCAGATACTTCTCATGGTCGAGTTTGCTTTGCTATATTTCAGTCTAATTTGTCTGGATTTTACTCAACCTGTTTAAATGCATCTGATCCCCAGAATGTTGCTGATCAAAGGTATGAATTGATACATATTATAACCTCAAGCCTTTTGTTGACAGCTGTTTAAAAAGTAGTCTGTTCACATGTCAGACTTTGTTTAATTTCAGAACCCGAGGGACTTCTACCGTGTGGGTGACCGAGCTGAGTTCTCCTGCACTGTAGGTTTTTATCTTGTCGGTCATGGAAACCTAGAATGTTCTGCTGATCAAACTTGGTCTGGAAGCCTTGGATTGTGCAAAGGTAAGTACACTTAATCAAAGTGTAATATTCCATCAAAGAAAATGAGACAAGGCCATTTTGAAAGAAATGTTTGTGAAAAAAAAATCAATTATGATGTTTGTTTTCTCTTTTTTCTAGTTTCATCATGCAAGCTTAATTCGCTCACGCAGGATGTAATAGCCTCTCCTTTTAAGCCCCTTTACTCAATTGGGGAGAAAGTAACCTTGTCCTGTCCTGAGGGTAGAACATTAGAGGGGGAGGCAACGATTATTTGTGACTCTAGTTTGCATTTTTCACCAAATCCAGCAGACATCAGATGTAGTGAAGGTAATTCTTTCACTAGACGGACACGATCACTGAAATGACTTATGCTTTGTTATTGGGAAGCAACGTGTTATAATTTTTGGTTATATGGCCTTTATTATTATATCATTGAGAAATGTAATTAATCATCCATGTATGTAATCATTATGTATACTTCATTTCCATCTACACCCCAGCTGAAGCCCCAAAACCAACTGCTCCCACAGTACAATGTAAGGTATGGGAGAAGGTTTTCAAAGGCAGATGTATTTGCAAAAGGGCTGATGAGTGCAGGTACGCTTTATCTGATGATTGGCTATAACAATATTTGCAAACTAACTTGATTATTTAATCTTGCTTTTTATGTTTTATTCCTCTTTATGGCTCCTCTTTTTTCTTACTTTTCTTCAGCTCATCATTGGATTTGTGCGTCACAACTTCAGATGGCAGCAGATTTCATCCCATTTCTGTCTGCAAAATGCATGTAATGCAGTGTATGGGGAAAGTCATCGAGATAGCTGAGGACAGCCGCTGTGACTGGCCAAAACGCCAAGCAGAAGCCTGTACCAATTGTCACATGTGGGAGAAGTGTGATGGTAGGTGTAAGCGAGGTTACAATCAATCCATCACAATGGAAAGCATTCCTATGTTTTTCACTGTTCACTCCCATTTGTTTTCACCGACATTTTCTTAGATCAAACCAACACATGTCGCTGTAAGGATCCTGAAGATTGTTCAAACGCTGGATTGGATGTGTGTGTCCGCGTTGGCGAGAATGCAACTGCTCCCACACAAACCATGAGTGAATGTGAAGCTGGACTTCGCCGATGTAAAGGAGAAACTATCTCAGTTGTCAGCATCCTTCCCTGTGCTTCCTGAAGATTCAGAGGCTGAGCTAAAAAATGTCCTCCATTTACCTTACTTTTTCTGTCAAGCCTTTCTTTAGATATTCGTGAATGCTATATTGTTTTAAGTGTTACCATATAAACCACCTTCCAGACATATTCTGAGTTTATACTATAATAACTTCATGTAGCAATTAAAGACCAGTCTGATCTATCTTTCTGCCCTTATTTCTGAAATGAAACAGTACAAGAATACATTGCAACTGAAAAGGTCCAATGGTAACACATCTGAAGCCTGAATGGATTTGAAAAAAGAGCACCATAAAGCAGCAAAGTTTTTAATTTACAAATTTTGGAAATCATTGCATTATAATGATACTCAATTTTGAAAATTTGATCGTAAATTAAACAATTTAGAAACTGAATGTTCTATCAGATGATTGACATAATTTCAGCAAAACATCGAAGGAGTATGAAAACGATTCTGTATGCAAGTTATGATGTCAAATACAAATATTAGATTCTCTTTCGCTCAAGACCACTTTCACAAAATCACTATTAACCCAGGTTTACGTTTCTGTGCCATCCACAGTTGTGTGCTTAAATTTACAAAGATGTGCAAACATGATCCAGAGATACAACTCTTCTATGGACTAAAGCTTGGTTAAAATTAACTGAGATGTGATGCGTGAAACTCATTCCTGATTTCAGAATATGTTTTGTGCTACTAAAGCAAGCAGTGCATAGCCTGCCATGCAAGTTCCTGTGGGCAGTTTATGCTGGCCTCCGGCTTGCTGCCCTCTCATGATGCGAGTCCATGGGTGTCTGAACATGCTTGACAGGATTTGTGAACTCTGCAGATGTGTTGGCTACCAAAAAAGAAAAGACACTGGGAAGTACCAATACTCCACAAAGAGGTAGTTTACAGGAGCAAAAAGAAAGCTCTCCTTACATTTATTTTAAAATCCAAAGGACACTACTAATCATACATGGATTTAGAGATGAGATGCTGGAATGTGATAACTCAGCAATTTCCTGACCCATGCAGGGTGTGGAAACATTGAATGCACAGCCTTTACTGAGTGTTTCATGAGACTTACCACCTAGTTTTCAGTTGATTCATCTAACAACCTAACATTCATGTCTCCTTTGATCCCGTGTCACCATCCAGTGGACATTTAGTGGATTACATCAACCCAAAATAATGAAGACCAGCTATGGTTTCAATAACAAAAGTTTTATTAACAATGTAAAATGACCTATTACAGCTTTAACTACTGTACCTTTATCTTGCCATAAACATTGATATCTATCTTTTTTGCAGGCAGTACTTAGATTACTGGCCCCATGTCTTCAACAGCTTCAGTCAGAGGTCACATTCCCTTCCACATTACCAACGATACACCTCCGACTTCAAAATACTTCAGAGCATTGTGTTAAGAATATGTGTATATACAAGTCTTATGTCTTAATTGATAGATAGATATTATGTGCAAAGAAGTTTTCTTTTGAATATTTCATCATATATTCCATTTTTGAAGCTGGAGCATTTAAGTTGGATACATGTTCTTGGTTTATGGAAGACTAAATTAAGAACGTAAAGAGAGAGACAGTAATAAACAAAAACAGACTGGAATACACATAAGACTTCTTCTGCACAAACCTGTTGTACCATTGTGAACAGACGAAGGTATAACGTTGCCATCCTGACATCATGAAATGGCAACTGTTCATTATTATATTATTTCTGACAAACAGACATATACATACATATATTTTCCCTTTTTTTCTAAAACATGAACCATCTTTTCATTCACTCTGGATTGTGGAAGTCATGATGTTTCAGATGATCTGTAATATTCTTTGACAAGCAGGTAGCTGGCTGCATTTACCAAAGAAGGAAAAGAAATTCTTGCAAAATATCAGAAAATATTTTTAAGTATTGTATCACTCTTTGCAATTACAATTCTTTTTTGTATTACAAAATTAAATTATAAAATGGGTATCCTCTAGGGGAAAAAAAAGAGAAAGAGACATTTTATTTGAAAATGGCAGTAATAGATTGGTGGTAGACACAAGTGGTGATGGACAGTGGGTAATGGTGTCTTTGTTGCCGCCACCTACATATAGAGGTGTGGCCCTTAGCTGGTTACCAGGCAACAGAGTCCGAAGAACCGCCTCTTCCTCTGTCGAACAAGTGGGTAGGGAGTCAGGTTCAGCAAACTGCTGTCATCTAGGAAAAAAAAAAAACACAGGAATATCAGTGTCATGTCATACAAATCTGCTGATTGTTTCACTCTCTTTGGCAGTTTTGGTGTGTTTCTAATGTGAGGATGGTGGTGGAATATTTAGGTTTTTATTCTCACCTTGGTTCTTCAGTGGTAAAGGCATTGTCTCCCTGAGTTTACTGAGAAGGTTCTTCATCTCTCTCATATCCCTGCAATAATACAAACAATCTATGTTTCTTGGCCTGAAGCGTTTGTTTTTGTTTTTTTGCAGATAAGCACACACACATGCACAGCAGGTATTCCATTCCAATCGTTTCCATTGATCTTGGGAAAACTGAAAAGCTTCAGTTTCTTTGTGATTGGTTCTTTATTAATCGCTGCAGGAGAGGGCCAGCACATCTATTAATATGCGCAGGCAAAATATGATTGATCCCTGATTATTCAATAAATATTGCTTCTATTTTGAAAACAGTTAATTTCACCAATTTCATATAAAATGATCCACTTATCCTTAAAGGTCACATATACTCTGTCAATTAGATGGCTGATTTATTTGAATGATATCCTCTTTTCGAAAAATGATCTTGTGGAACATTTTAAATTCATTTGAGCAGTTCTTTTATATTTTCTTTCTTTGAAATTTGGCAAAGTTTTGTGTCTCATGCTGAAAGACGGAGAGTCAGTCATCAATGTTTGAGAACAACCAGTGAACATATAAAAAAGAACTTATACAGAGGCAAACACATACACAGATTCAAATTAAAAGTTTCAGTAAATACTATCGGCATTGTGGCTTTGAATGAAAACAAATTAACTCAGAATAAAGTATCTTAAGTATAGTAAAATGCATTATTGTACGAAAACCTTTTTCATTATGTGCAAATAAATGATTGACTTTGAATTCCTATCACTTTTTCCACTTACCTTTCTATGTTATCTATGTCGGTGGCTAACAGCCAGCAGAGCTGAGGGCAATCAGTGGGGGACGAAGAAGTATCCTCCAGGATGGGGATGTCTGAGTCCTCAGTCTTACAGTCGACACCATGAGGGCCACATGAATCTTTACCTACAGAAAGCACATGTTAGCCTTAACTAGGTGTCATGAAAAGATAAAATGTATAAAAAAGGCCGAAAGTAGCTTGCCTAAATGGCACATCAGGTATACAATTACAAGATCTCACAATAGGCTTATTTCAGGCTTATCAATAATGTTGTTAACAGAAATCCCAATTGAAAAGCTGTAGACGTTTGCTTGTCCGTGTATTGGATGTACAGAAAGTATGTTGTAGATGGGGTTTATCAGTGCATTTACCTTTTCTGTGGAGTTGTAGAGATCCTAACAGGCAGACAGATTTCAGCATCTCTGTAATATACATTTCCAGGCAGCACTGCAGCTGGATGAAGAGCCGGCAGATCTCAGGGTGGATTTCCCCATCCTCTGGCCTGAAACAGCATGGAGTTAAAGCAGAAACAGTTCTTGCTAACCGGAGCTTAATGAGTTCAGCAATATTCACATTTATTAACAGAAAATGCATACATTTGTTCTTCAAATACAGTTTCATAGATATATACTGTATTGTACAAACACAGTAATCACTTATTGCGGTCCAGTGAATCTTTTTTTTTTTAAGGCCTTTCCCTTTTAAAAGCATAAGACTATGTGTGTTTCTTAGAGTGAGTAAAACCTGCTTGTGATGAGGGCAAAATTAGAATATCTGAATTAATTTGTGTCTGGAAGTAGAAGCGGTTTGAAAGTTTAATCAGATAAACTCACACCTCTCACCATAAATACACTATTGCTGTAGTGGCACCATTATGCTGTACGGATGCTGTAGGATCTGACAGAATTAGATAGAAGATAGAACTAAAAAAATAAAAAATAAAACCCACAAAAATCCCACATATTTCAGCCCTCTGTCCAATTCAGACTGAGGTCAAAGTTCTTCTTTCTTTGGTATGATTAGAAAATTAGAAAACACATGCAGCTCAAAAGAGCTAAATCATTTCTGAAGTCAGAGCTTATTCTAAATCAAAGAATAAGGCATATTAGTTTATTTAAAGCAAACAAAAGCTCCCCAAATGACATCTGTTTCAGCTTACAACTTACTACAAAATTTGAGAAATTTCAAAGGTATGCATACTTCTGCAAACCATTGTAAATCAAAAGAGAATGTGCACATTTCTGCATGGTGTGTACACAGAGTTTTAATCATCAAACTGCACGGTCTGATATTAGGTGAATGGGAATAATCAAACAGGTGAGGCTTAGCACCTTTTTTAACAGGTTTGCAATGTTCCGTTACACTTTCGCGGTATATCACAAAACTGTACAGTTACATTAGTGTTTATGTATCTTAGGTTTGAAGATTATGCCTATTTAAATAGGTAGCTGTCATAATATTTTATACACTGTTGAGGGCAGCACTCATGCAGAACTATTGATGCTGAGGCAGTGAAGTGCAGGTTTTTTGGGTGTAGGTGTTGACCTTTTTTTTTTCTTTTACAGTGTTTTGGAAAAACTGTAAAACTTCAGTCAAACAGACGTTTGGGCTTCTTGTGCTTGAGCTGACTGACTGAGTTTTTATAACTGAACTGATATTTTTTTCTTGATCAGATTAGAATATATTGGCTTTGTTCAACTTGTCTAACGATGAATAAAAAATACAAAGAAAAACACTAAAATAACAATAAAGCCAATGTCCGAAATGTCTTTTTAAACCCAACCACAGCTGATCCACAGTGTTTATTAATGGAATGTTTTAGTGTGACTTGCAGGTGATATTTAACAGGTGTGATATCAGAGAGGAAAGTCGTAGATGAAAGGTGTGAGACTTGAGTGATCCTGTTGAATTCTCCTCTTCCAGCACCAAGATTCACCTCCATTGCTTCTCTGTTTTTATGACGGCGCTGCCTCGGACAGCACTGTTCCAAAATCACAGCAATCAGCCCTCCTCAAGCACTCTGGAGGGTCTCTGCATCGCTGAAGCTTAGAGACGCGCAGGCTTTAGCGCTTTAAAGTGGGATGAGCCATCTAATTTGGGCTCTCTCTATAGGAGACACACTTGTATTGGAGGAAGTTAAGAGTATGAGCTGATGGTGTTTCTGAGAATATGCTGATGCTGTTGTCTGTGCGAGGTTTCCTGTTTTGCTGCTGTGCCATTTCAGTTAAAACAACAGCCACAACTTCACTACAACAGGTACTCATCTGTCTCAGTATGCAAGTCAAACACATCAAACGTAAAACAAGTAAGTTGTGAGGATTGTTTACCTAAAGGTTCACCCAAAGAGCGTCTTTTGAAAGTTATTTTTTCTGTAAAAGAGCAATTATCTCTTGATTCATACAACTACAGCGAAGCAGTTTAAATTGGGTAAATATGTCAAATGCATATTGAGTGAAAAATGTTTAGAAAGACTTTAGATTTGTTGAGTCAGATTATGATACAGAAGATAAATAACTAAATAGACATAGTCAATAAACTGGTCCTCAATGGAAGTTCATTCACAAATGTCTAACGAGACTTTTCTTCATTTGTATGCCAGAACCAAAGAGGAATGCAGCCTTCAGCCCAACAGCAAAGCTAACAGTGTTTGGTTCCAACAGTGGATGAGCTTTGGCAAGCCCGCTGCACTGCAGACATTGTCCAAATTTTTTCTCACCGCTGGCTACAATCTGTCCGATTGTTATTTAAGTAAGTTTAAGGGTGCCAAGTCAGCTGGTATCTTTGTTTTACTGTGGATCTTCAAATCCCAAACCTCACTTTGCCCTTCTCCCACTGGCACTGGTGTAGAGGGGACGCTGTGGGCCAAGTCAACAGGCTTTTATGTGCCGATTCCCTCTGGCTTCAAGAGCAGCTTAAATCACAAACAAACCACTTGTAATTTAGCATGAAAACGCGTTCTGATCTAAGTCTAAAAACAGTGAACCAACGGAAAATGTAGTTAATCATGCTGGCTGTGTTTTTGCATAGAAAGAGAGCTCCAAAATGTCATAATCTAGTAAACAATGTACAGTTAGAAAAAGTTCATTTTTGTCTTGTAAATCAGATGGTGTGAATATCAATAGGCACAGACATAATGCACAAAGGACACACACAGGCACACAGTTCCTCTCACAGTATGAACAAGCATGAAAAATAATAATGACTGGCTTCTTATTATTGAAACTATTATCTCAGATATTCAACCATGGAAACATCCCACTTCCGCTCCACTTTGTGCATTAGGCAAGGCTAAATGGAAGTGATCAGTTACAGCACGTTCTTGTGGGATCTTCCATTTGAAACTCTCAGACTCACAAATTAGAGACGTAATGATTTTTGAAAGCTGTTCTCAAGTTTGGTTTCCCACTTTGGACACTTAGAACTTAAGGTTGACATTTAGATAATTATAAAGTGAGGATGCGGGCTTAGATGACTGTAAAACGGACCTAAAATGGGGTTGCAATTGCAACTCAGAACTTTTGTTTGGTCTATATGAGCTACTTTACTACTCCAGGCTCTGCAGTGTTGCAGAGGGCCGTTTATGGCGGGGTGTTACACTCTCAGTCACAGCGCCTTGCAATCGTTTCAGGACCATGGACAGCATCTGTGCCAACTCACCCCGATATCAGGGAGAGACTGTGGTGCGCCGCTCTCGCCATTTCGCAGCCTTTAGTGCGGGTCTTGAGCATTTCTGCCCGTAAGGATGGACAGTCGACAGTGATTTCGCCAATGGAGATGACCAGTTCACGGTACAGAGCCACAAGTGTGTTGAACTCTTGGACGATCTGTGTCACAATGGGATGATACAAGCACACACAAATACGTTATACCGCATACGACCAGTTGCAATCCACAGCAGACAAACACGGCACGCAACTTTTGCACGAATTTTGCACGAATTTCCCTACTGGACATTGCAGCAGAACAGTCTGTCAGGAGCCCGAGTTGTTAACACCTCAACGCGTCGGCAAGGAGGGAAAAAGATGGGATGAGCAACAAAAAACGAACAACGCTATACAATAATGTACGTGCAAGCTGCAGGTGTACAGGGGTGTGCTTTTATGCAAAAAGAAAAATTGGCAACCTCGCACGCATTGGGACACAAAAACCTAGTGATGTCCGAGAAAAACGTGACTGAACATAAAGTGGAGCACCGCCATTAAACAGCCAGCAAAAGCAGTCTGCTCGACTGATTGATGAGCTGTTTGAGACTGCTATTTTCAATTCTGTTTGCACAAAACCGGGGTTTGAGCTCGTGGCATATGTTTCTGACTCGTTCCGTGCAACTTCTGCACATTGCTGCTGCAGTCCTGCAAACGGCTCCATGACAATCACTGGTGTATGAAAGGTAAAGAACAAACAAACAATAAAACAAACAAAAACCAGCATATATCGTGTCTCTGTGAGCTTTGTGAAAATACAGCACGTTTGGTCCACGATCACTAACATCTCCGCAATTGTTCTTTTAATTCATGTAATTTTGCAATCAGCCCAGATCGCCAGCCCCTTTTTTTTTTTTTTGCACCCTCTGAATGTAAATCACACAGTGAATCTTCACGCTGGGGTGTTCTGTTTGGCTTTACTGTCGACAAAAGCTGTGCAAATGCAAACATCTATTTATAGGCTGCCAGAGCTATGGGTATACGGTCTTTTTTTTTGGTAAGCATTTATTACCATATGTCGCTGCTTCACGGAGCAATAGTCGAATTGTCCAAGGACAAAAGAAAATGTTCAGATAAAAGCACCCAATCGCCAGCAAGCGTGCAGGCATGGACATGCCGCAGACCTACCATTCTGCAGTCGGCCACGGCGCGCTGGGCTTTGCGGGTACTTTCGGTGCTCTCCCGCCTCTGTGGCTCTCTTGGAGGAGGCTTGCTGATCTGGAAGATGCTCCCGGTGGATCTGGGGCGGTTTTTGCGCCCTTTCGATGCAGAACTCATGCATACAGATCCACTATTAAAACAGCCTTAAGACAGAATGATTTAGCCCGACCCCACGAAAACTCCACCACTTGCTTCCCCTTCTGCCTCACCAGCCCGCGCCTCGGTGTTCACCTTATTATCTCCTCTGTTTTAGACCGAGTTCACCTTCGCCAGCTACGGGCTGGATTTCACCTCGATTTCTATTATTGCTCTAGTCTTCACCTTCCTTCCCCGTTTAAAGTGTGAGAGGGAACTGATGCTCTCCCAGACCAGCCTGAGGGCGAAGGAAAAGTACCGGATGAGCGCCTGTGGCTCCTCTCCGCATTGCCTTTGCCTGCGACTGGGCTCAAGTCACCTTCACTCCAGCAGCACTACGGTGCACAGTGGAGACTTCACACCCAAAAAGAGCCCAGCTTGCAGAGGACGGCTCTCCTGACGCATCGGCGTCAAAAGGAAACGATCGCCTTCACGGATGCTCTCCAAATGCAACCATTTTTTGTGATTGCGCGTTTCCATCAAGCACCGGAAGATAACGATCTTTTTTCTTAGCGGCAAAAAAACCTCCCGTAGAGACGAAAAAATGACGCCTGTCGGTATCTCCACGCTGACAATCTCGCAGCCGACACTTTGCGCCTGTTGTGCCGGAGAAATTGCGATCGCTCCAAAAAAAACTTCTCTCCGGGCGTTGCGATTTCAGTCCAGTTTCCCGGTGTCTTTCTTTTCCTTGAGCGTCTCCGGCCAGCCGGGCGGGCCTGTCTCTAACCTTGGAGAGGCAGAGGCAGACGTGCAGTTGCTACAGGCCCTGACGTGGCTCAGTGGCTGGCAACACTGCGCACCCGAGGGATGACAATACTTATAGAGCCCGTCCACACAGACCCACGCCCTGAGCTTCAGGCCGCACAAACTCCTCGGTGCGAGCCATTCAAATGACTAACAATTATTCAGCATATGCAAATTAAAACAATATTCTCGACAGAATATGACAGAGGTGTAGTTTAAGATGTGTGTGGTACCATACCCCAACTTACGTCTAGCGCTGATCAGCCATCATTTAATTAGGTTCGGAAATCTTTGATGAAATGTGATTAATATTGACCAAAACCATGTTTCCATTAAAGGCTTGTCAATCTGCTTAAATGCGCTTTCTTTGTTTCTGTAGTTTTCTATGCGAGAATATTCTCATTAACCGGTGACAATGTCTTAATTGGAAAATAAAATGAAATAATGGGAAGTAATTTATGGTACAGGAGAGTTACTGCTCAACATGTTTAAAAAAACTTTAGTCAGTCAGTTTAATCTTCAGACAAGTGCATATTTCGAGTTGTGTGAGCCATTGAGCTCCTTTCTCAAAGGTGGATTTGGATGATTTATGGTGGGTCGTGTTGATGATGATATGCCAAACGTCTGGGTCGTTTTCCTCACTTGGCTGGATATTTTCTTTGCCATGCATCTTCTCACCACCCACAGCACCTCTGTGGATCAGGTCATTTCATATCATCAGTCACACCACTGTATTGTTTCCAGATGGAAATCTTCATTTGACCATTGCTCCTGTGTCTCCATGACTGATGGATCTTGCTCTGTAAGGTTGTCCTGCTTCACCCACAGTGACATAACTAGTTCACAGCTCATTAATGCCCTCACCCATGAAACAGCGTTTTCATCATTTGCCCAGTAACACTTGAAAATAGCCTTAAAAGTCATGGTTGTTCCATACAGGAAGCAACAAAAAGTAAATTCTGCAAAGCTAGAGCACATTATGTCTTCAGTATATGTCTCCTTTATTATCAATGTTATTAAGTATTAATGCTATTAATGTGCCAGAGTGCGTTGCTGCCTTTTACTGCCTCTTTGGCCTTTCATTGTTTTTCACTACCACAAACAACAGGTCAATATTTAGGGCTTATGGTCATAATGGTTATTGCAACAAATGATGAGTCTTATATATTTATATTATCAAGTAAATAATTGATAGTTGTCCAGAAATTACTTTACTACCATCTACATTGACAGCACTGCTATAGCAATGACTTCAAAGTGCCAAATATGCTTTATGATATAAAATAACTTGTTCTGCCTGAATTTAATTTAACCTGAATCAAATTTGTTTAACTCAAGAGTGAAAGCTTGATGTGTTTGCTCATCAAGCTTTCAATATTTATTTTCAGATTTACTTTATTGCAATGTTTTCTGTATAAAGAGTTGTTCATTTACTTAAGACCTCAGAGGTTTGGCAGGAAAAGCCATTTTGGACTAGAATCAAAACAATCTGAAATCCTGCTCTTATTGACTGTTAGAGCGATTTTAGGTTCAGAGTACAGGGACCAAATTCCTTACTGACCTCCATTTGGTTGGGTTTGCTTTCAATATTCTTTTAACCAATAATATAGAAACACAAGATTAACCATATATTTTTCTTCTGAAATAACAAAGAAATGAGTGATCTCTGAAGAGTTTGATTTCTCCTAGAGAAGGTCAAACACCTCCTCATTTGAATGAATCCAAATAAGATCAGTAGCATCTCAGGTTTTGATCATTTAAATTAATTGATTTTTGTAAAGAAAGAAGCTCATTTGTGATGGCTCCAACATAATCTGAAAAAAAAGATGTTGAAATAAGAAAGTATAACATTTTAATTTTAAGGTTTACTAGAAAATAATATTTTTTCTTATTTCGATCATTTTAGTATTTTTCTGGAGGTGTCAAACACTTATTCATCTCCACGTTCTCAAGAGGCTGGTTAATTGCTCTGAACTATTTTTATATTTTCCTGCAAAATGGGGAAAAACTTTAAAGTTTACACAAAATGTGGGGAAGAGGTAAATTTGTCTTTTTTTCTTTTTACAGATATGTATTCCACATGTTTTCTTACAACTGAGTTACTAATTAAATAATCTAATGAACATACAGCATTTTCTCTTTTGAGGCATATGTATGAATGTCCCTACTTCGACAAAATAAAAACAGAAGTTTTCTGAAGGTTAGCCAATCTGGCTGAAAAATGTCTATTTTTGCTAATCATCTGTAGGGCACTGCTTAAAAGTTTCCGGTACATTAAGACAATAGTGAAATAATCATACAGATAATTTTGTTTTGGTCAAGAAAAAATTGTAATGGATTAAATGTTACTGGCTGAAACAGTTTCCAAAATAGGAAATTATTCTGTCATGACAGATTTCTAAACCACACTGATATAACAGTATGTACGTGCCTCAGTCGTAATTTGACTGAATTGAATTGAAAACACAAAACATAAAGGAATTCAAATTGAACAAAAGCAAGATTAACTTTTTAGTCTATTTCAAAAATACAAGGGGGCAGTTGGTGGCAGAAGATTTGACATCTGTGTATTGTGTATGTTGGAAAAATGAGAAAGTCACACAGGCACGTAGTTTCCATCCATGTAAGGATTAAGATTACACATCAATTATAATCCCAATCTGTCAGAAAAAAAGTGAAATGGAAAAGTCCAGCTGCCTTTACGACTTCCAATTGTAACAAGATTATGTTGAATGTAAAACACTTCAACCTAAAAGCTGTTTTAACAACTCAGTACACATTAAAGGGACATTTTGGAACACTCATCCTACATATGTACTATATGGAGTCAGATATTAGAGAATGCTCATCTGTTAAAACATTTCCTTATTTCTATGCTGCCAAACAATAGTTTCAAGGAAGGTCAAAATGAGGGGAAGAAGACATAGCAAAGAAAGCAGAAAACGAAAAAGCCAATGATCCAGTTGACCGAGTAGATGTAGATAATGACCATGTCCATGTCGAATCGCCAGCCACGAGAATCATCCTCAAAATCCATAGCATCAAGGCGGTAGCCTCCCCCGTGAGGAAACTGCCGTCTGGCTATGGGACTGGACTGCCTCTGGAAGCCTGGTGTGAAAAGATTTAAGACACATCATCTTTGTCAGGTTATTTCTGGTCAGTTGTTTTTTGTTTTTGGAACTCTCATGGAAATGAGTCAAATTATTCATATGTGAAAGGCAGTCTGTTTTAATTGCGTACTTCAAACTTCATGACTAAAAAACAATATGCTGGAGAAACTTTTAATTTACTGACTTAAGTACTCAGAGTTTTGAGATATTTTTATGCCACAAGTCACAAGCGAAAAGCAATTAAACCTTTGCTTCCGGCATTTCAGACACATCTTTAAACTTGCCTCCAAATATGCGAAAGAGCTTTCTGCAGCTTGGCAGAGGCCATTTTGCGCAGCTTGCCTTCTGAAAGCTTTGTTTCCGGGAGAGGTATTCCTTTGGGAAGAATGTTCTTGCAGTTTGGTTGAGCTCTGGATGGAAGAAAGAGTATAAACCTGTGATCAGAAAATGTAACCATGTACCACGTGCACCCACCTCCTGATATCATGGATTGTTTTATCTGTTTTCAAATATTCAGAAACTCGAGCTGTATCATCACTAGCCTTGTCAATGATCTCATTCAGTATGACCTTGGTTTTAGTAATCAACTCGAGAATATAATCTTGTCATCTAATCATTGACAAGAACCCTTATTTTTTCCAGTCTTCATAACAATCTCATCCCTGCTGCTCATGCTCCACATCCAGAAGTAGGCCAGCATGAATCATGGAAGTTCATTACTTATTCATAGCATTGTCAAAATCAAACTACTTTCTACATGCAATCAGTGTGAAGATGTCATTCGATTTCTTTAAAGACAACTGCAAATATTCAAAATACATGTGCGTGAACACAAATTAAAGTACCCTACACGTCTGAGCAAATTGTGATATGTTGGAGTTCTATTTTATGCCGGGTGGAAAAACAACAACAGACATCTGACATCTGAATTTACATCATCACAGTGCATATCCCACCAAAGAAATAATTAAACAACAGCAGATACTTGTCCATATTTCTGTTTAAAAGCACACGGTCAAAGTTTTCCGATTGGGTTTGATTTGCCTTCTCTGCCTGGATGACTCATCTGGTGTGAGCTGAACAAAAGGTCTACTCTGCTCCCTATAGGGCAACTGCAGCTGGGCCCTCTGAACAATCTGGGGCTTGCATGTGATCTGTTTTTACAACCAACAGACATGGGAATATACAAAACACACAAAAGTCCCACACTGTTGATGTCATCGCTTTTATTGATATGATGATCTCAGTTATTGTATTGCTTTAATGGATTCAACTTACCTTTTTGGAAGAATACGTGTGTAATGATTGTTCTGCAGAGCGGGCAGGGGGTGTTGGTGGGGTTGCTCTTTGCGAGCGTCCTCAGACAGGGTTCACAGAAAATATGGTTGCAGGGATGGCACATGTAGGGGCTGAAGTACACGTCCAAGCAAACGGCGCAGATGAAGCCCTCTCTGTCCCCAGTGCTCAGAGCTTCGTCATCCTCACTGCTGCTGCTGCTGCTGGTGGTGGCTGCGTTCCCTGCTGCGCTCTGAACATTCAGAAAAAAAGCACAAGATTTTAATATCATTCATTGTAACAAACCGTTAATGCTTGGGAGGGGTATCAGCGCTAAAGCATGTCACCAAACATGCTCATTTGAAAGCAAATGTATCCCTCTACAGCTCATTGTCTTTGTAAGCTCTGAAAAGGAAAGCAGGTAAGTCTGATTACATTTTTAATGGACATGGTGACATTTTAACTTGAATCTTTTTCCCTAATCTTTTCTTTTATTTCTGAAAGAACTATGGTTTCTTTGCATAAGCAAAAGTTTCAAGAAGAGTAATCCAGACCTCAACCTGGAGGTCTGGATGTGTGAGAAGTTTTGCACATTTCCCAAATGCATCTTTCCACCAGCTGTTGATAAGCGGGCATTTGCATCTCTATTCGTTTTCAGTCCTTTTGAGATTCTGTTTCTGTCTTTCTCAGCTTTTTTCATAGTGTAGAGCTCTTTGCCACCCACCCATAAAGCTTATTAATATGTGAGAACATAAGGGGATCAGATATGAGTTCAGGGAGCAAAAGTGCTTATCTACCTATGTTTCCCCACAAGTAACTAATGAGGATGATCAGAGAAATGTACCACTTGAAAGTATTGTCAAGATTTAAATAATCTTTAATCTCGCTGATTCCACGGTAGAGTTGAAGGGGGTTGGAGTCTGCCCTGGCTGCATTTGGGCAAAAGGCGGATTACTGCCTAGATGAGTCCATCATTTAAACAAAAGGACTAAAACTCAAAGTCAGTTCATCCTTTACAGAGTACCTGTACTTAGACCAGTGCTCAGCTCCCCTTTCCAAATCCTTGTGTAAGAGAATATATCTAAGCCTTCTCAATTCCCCCCACCTGCCTCCAGATATGTTGGTAGGCCCACAGGGGTTCCATGTCTGGAAATAAAGTCTTAAAAGAAGCCTTTGGGATATTTCCAAAGTAATTACCACTTTCTCACCCAGGGGGAGCTCCAGGGACTTCCCTGTGACACCAGCCCTTCCTCCCAAGGTGTGTCATTAACACATAAGTGAGAACTCTGGTTACATGGCTCTCAAGTAATCATGGACACAGAGACTCTCCTGTGCAATGAAGGAGCTTTGTCTTGGTTACAATGCTAAATGGTTACGTCAATATCTAAAAGTCTGTGCATTCATACAAACAGATCTGCTCATCTGTGAATACAACTATTATTTGATTGGTGTGGTGGAGAACAGATGAACTGATTGATCCATTAACTCTTAATTGTTTTTCTTTTACATTCTATTTTTTGTGATTTCCAAAAAGCAACTAAAACCGCATCAGCTGTGCTACAGCGATTAGAACAGATGGGGGAGAAAATCCAAACAAGCTAATGCTAATTGCCTCTCCATTGCACAGGAAGAAATTGTTTCCTGTGGTTTGCTTTGAGACATAACACCCACTGTACCTCTGCTGCACTGTGTCGTGTATGCTAATTGGGATGCAACAGTTTTGCCGAGGTGCATAAAATCCGATCATATAAACTAAACAAAATGTCCAGAAACCAGAACTGCAAAGTTGCATAAAATGCTGGGTACAGATCGGGAGTATTATGTTTTAAAAGCTGACATACACACACACACACACACAAACACGCACACAAACACACACACACAAACATGCACACAAACACACGCACACAAACATGCACACACACTCACAGAAACAAGTAACGTTTCTAGCATTTTTAATGAAATTAAATTAAAACCCTCTATTTAGTTGTCATTATGAAGTTAAGGGTTTACAGTGAGTCACTAAATATTTTAGGTTATTCTGACAGCAATAAAGGAATAATAACTGCACCCGATGAAATATCAAAAGAGAAAACTGTTCTCTGTAAATAAGGAACAAGAAGTAATGTTAGAAGATTTTTCAAACACAATGAAAAAAACTTTTTATCTTTTTTAATTATATATCCTAAATATTATGTCAACAGTTAAAAGAAAATTGTCTTATTTTGGGACTAAATGTTATTTGGTCTAACTCCTCTGTAAAGATCTCAAATACTTAAATTCTAAACATAATTTAAATGCATAGTTTAATTTAAAAACAGCAGTATTCTCAATAAGTATAAGTAGCCTAAATTTAGCTGAATACTGGAACAAATACAATCATTCACAAAGGAAAGTAGCACCCAAAATGAAACAGCTGGGGAACATTGCTATTATGACAATTCTCCTCACAATATTCAGCTTTCTGAAACACAACAGTCAGGATGATTTTAGTCCGTCAGCATGACTGCACATCTACAGCAGCCAATCAAAGCTGGATCTGTGGCTTTGTCTGGTGGCTATGAAGGGCTCTCTGCCCAAGCCTCGTCGTGCCACTAATTCTCACGTAACCCCACTATAAACTGCGCACACAATGGCTATTGAAAAGGGCTGGGTGCTGATATGACTGTCAAGTGTCAGGGACTGGATGAAATGAAGTTACACAGGCACACGCAGATGAACACACACCACACGCTGTCACATAGAGGGCTATAAATAAATGCAGTGCAAAGGAGACGCAGTGCAGTGTTAAGTCTTTTCTTTCCTACTGTGCCAAACACTCCTGCTCACAAAGCTTTGACTTAGTTTAGTTTGTGACTTCCCTCTTATTGAAATAGATTATCAAGCAGTTCAGTTTCACGATTTAAAGTTGAAGAGCCTGAATCTAAGTTTCTGGCGTCTACCTACTCCCCACAGGCCAAAATGTTTGAAAGAAAATATGAGACTCAGATATAATTCAACCTGAAACCTCCTATCCAAGTAAATTGACATAGACTGCATATGACTTCTATCTTTCCCAGTTTCTGCATAAAAAACACCTCACAAATCTCTAACAGTTCATAACTAAACTCCATTGTATGAATACACAGCTTCTCTTGAAGAAATGTAATTTCCCTAATTATCCTATGATTTAAAAAATATATATTTTGTAATATGAAGCCGTGAAGCTCTTACCAGATCTTAATCCTTATATCACATTTGTTAAATCAGCAATGACCTGTGTCCAAAGTGTGATTCACCTGTCTGCTCTCTTGATGATGACTTTGTCTCCATTTCTCCCTTCTCCTCTGCCTCCTTCTCAGGCTTTTAATCCTGTTTTTCTCTCGTTTACTCATCCTCCTCTCCCCGAATGGAATACAGGGTGGCACCACTGCTAAGGCTATGGCTTGACTCATGACCTCCATCACCCCGCTGCCTTCTTGGTCCCCTTCTTCATGCTCTTCTTCCTCATCTTCCTCTGCCTCCGGCTCTGAGGGAGTGAGAGGGGGGATGCGGTATGTTTGATTCTGATACTGGCTTTGCGGCAATTGTCCAAACGCTGCCCCAGTTCTCACCTCCATGAAGAATGGATCTGCTTCTCTGGAGGAATTGGTTGACTGGCCGTGCAGATCATCTGCTGCTGCCCGGGATGAAAGTCTCTGTGGTGACACGGGTCTGGATCTGCTCTGAATGGCAGGCCGAGGAGACTGGGAGTTTGAATTGGAAGTGATGGTTTGGATAAATCCAGGGAACTGAAGTCTGGGATGAGCATGTCTTCTCTGCAGGTTGTTCAATCCTTCTCCGTCTCCCAAACTGTTGCTTAATTGAATGTCCGAATCCATGAGAAGTGAGTTGCCAGCGTTTCCTCTTCCGTATCCATCGTGTGATCCATCTCCACGTGTCTCAGTGATTCTAATCTCTCTCCGCCTTTCTCTGTTTTCCAAGTGTTCAGGCCTTGGTCTCTCCTGATCCCTGTCTTGGTTTCCTTCCCTCCACCCTCCATCTTCAGCCAAAGTCTTTCTAAATACTTCTCTCCCAGGCAGGGCCGGTCTCACCAGGGGCTTCGTGGTACTTGACCTTCCCTCTCCGGCTGGATCGGTGCTCTTCAGCCTGGGTCTCACCGCTTTTGAGCTCAGAGTCGGACCCTCGCCGTTGCTGGTTTCTCCACCAGCATCCCCATTTCCACCACCTCCAACTCTGCTCGAGCCACTTATGCCAGAGGTTCCCACCTGAGAGCTCATGATGGTACTTAAAAGCCCCCCCAATCACTTGGTTAGCACATATAATGCAGTTTCAACCATTAAACTTGGCTCTACCCACATCTGTCCATCCCTCAGTCTTCTTTTGGCCCCCCTCTCCTTCTGGATATGTAAATTCAAGCTCTTTTTTTTAAGAGCTAGAGGGAGTGTTCCAGTTGAGAGGAGGTGAGCAGAGCAGCGCTCTGGCCTGGCCTATCCTGCCCCTTTGAGCCCCCTGGGGCATTCCACACTGTTGACAAAGACAAAGTCCCATGGTGAGCCCCACCACAATAGCTGCACTGTTCATGGCCTCTCCATTATCCTGTGTAACCTATAGAAAGCACACAACTATGCAACCGTGAACTCTCAAAAATAAGGTGAAAAAGCCAGAGCTACTTTTTTCTAACACTAGTGTCAGCTTTTTTACTCTCTAGTTACTCTATCAGAGCAGAGAGACTCATCTCTGAATTTGCACGTGTCTGTTGTCAAAGAAAATAATTCCTTTGACTTTATAAATGATCAAGACCATTATTTTTAGATTTGTTTCGGTGGGAATTTATTTCAAATGTGCTCTTAAAAGATAAAATAGTTTTTTTTTAAAGATGAAACTGTGTTTTGGGGATTAATGTTTAATTGGTGATTTGGTTGAAATGGTAAACTCGTTATTTCAAATGGAGAAATAATATAATTATGTCTGAAAGGTTCTAATATTTTTGTGATTTCAGTAAGAATAACTACAGACATTTTTTTTTAAACGACACAGCCTGCCTCACTCTAGATCACCTAGAAAATACTTTTTTTTTTTGCCTGGCACATCATTTAGTTTTGATAGGCCACCACACAAAGTGCGTTTACGAATGAGTGTAGCATTTTTTTAAAAAAACATTGTTAATCTCCCATGAGATGAAATGCTTTGATCATCAAATCCAGCTTGCAGCAGCAACACACATGCTCAAATTTACCCTCTAAAAAGCACTCTATTTTTTTTAAAGAAATGTTGTACCTCAAATGTAATTCTGAGCGAAGCTAGGTTTCAGTTTTGTAAAAGAAAGCTCTGCCTATATTTACTTTATTATATCATCCTCTTCCATCTATCTCCCACAGGCGTGAGTTTGCTCAAATCTCTCCCTTCTGAGCCCATCCTTTCCCTAAACAGCGATGCTAAAACAGCAGTCATCGTTTGGTGCAGTGTGTGCTGTTAACAGGAGATGGCAGCAGCATTCCTTTCTGGGAGACCGAGAAGCTGTCCTTGGTCCTGAAATTACATCTCGCTCCCTGCCTACTGGCCGTTTGTATTTCCTTTCCATCTCGGTTTTCAATACTATTAAACATACATACTCTACGTTTTCCGATGCCAAAGTTTGACCTTTTTTTAAACTACGAAAACCAGTGAACTACCTATATATCGTAAATCGCAAAATGAAGATATTTTGAATGTAGTTTCTCCACGATTAACGTTGGAGGAATTACAAACAAACGAGGAATTACGCACGAGTCCTGTCTGACACTTAAAGATGAAAGTTAAACAACAAAAAAAGTATAAGTTTTGAGTCCAAGAAGAAAACTGAGAGAAAAGGGAAAGAAGCCCCCTCGTCGGCTGTCTGCACTGAAAAACGGAGCAAGAGGGAAAGCGGAGGCACAAAAAGTCCAGGGCGACCTCCTCCCAGTCTGACGTACCCAAACCTGTTGGTATAAATGCATTTACGGCGTCACCAAGCTCAGATGATTCGCAATACCAGTGAACGCATCTGGCTGTCAACACTAATGGGCGGCAACACGCACAATCCCTCTCGTGCACACTCACAAACACGTCTGCGTCATGCGTCCTGAGAGAGACGGCAGGAACGCGGTAACTTCGATGGAGCCGGTAAAACGCACACTAGCAGCCGCGGCAGCAGCAGTCTGAGCGGCTGACTGCCTTCTGCTCATTTCATAGTTGGGTGTCCCCTAACTACTTTGGAAAAAAAGTTGCGCCCTGAGTGTGGTGGCACTATGGATTTTATAACAACAAGCAGCAACGACAGCAACGAGACAACGAGCGGGTACCCAAAAGGGAGGGACGTGGTGGCCGACTGGGTTGGAGGTGAGAATGGCACGGAGTCTGGGCTTTTGCCAGATCTGATGCTGAGTTACCAGATTATCACCTCTTTGCTCTTGGGGGCCCTCATCCTGTGCTCCATATTTGGCAATGCCTGCGTCGTAGCAGCCATCGCCCTGGAACGATCTCTCCAGAATGTGGCCAACTATCTGATCGGATCCTTGGCTGTTACAGACTTGATGGTATCAGTGCTGGTGTTGCCAATGGCAGCCCTCTACCAGGTTTTGAACAAGTGGACTTTGGGACAGGAGATCTGTGACTTATTCATCTCTCTTGATGTACTGTGTTGCACATCCTCCATTCTGCATCTGTGCGCAATTGCTTTGGACAGATACTGGGCCATAACAGACCCTATTGACTATGTGAATAAACGAACACCAAAGCGAGCTGCACTCTTGATTTGCGCCACTTGGCTAATTGGTTTCTCCATCTCCATCCCGCCTATGTTAGGATGGAGAAGCGCAGAAGACAGGGCGAACCCCGACGCCTGCATGATCAGCCAGGACCCAGGTTACACCATCTACTCCACGTTTGGAGCTTTTTACATCCCCCTTATTCTCATGCTGGTTCTGTACGGGCGGATATTCAAGGCTGCGCGGTTTCGGATTCGAAAGACCGTGAAGAAAACCGAGACAGCAAAAGTTTCAGACAGGTGCTTGGCTGTGTCTCCGTCCTTCTTTCACAAGAAAGCCAACGGGGAGACCCGTGGCAAAGCTTGGAAGCGCTGTGACGAGTCCAAGCCCAGCTCCCCGTGCGTAAACGGCGCCGTGAAGCACGGAGAGGAGGGCGAATCGCTCGAGATCATAGAAGTTATCAGCAACTCCAAGACGCACTTACCTTTGCCCAATACCCCTCAGTCGTCCTCACACGGCTGTGAAAACATGAATGAAAAGAACTCTGGGGCGAAGAGAAAGCTGGCGCTGTCCAGGGAACGTAAGACGGTGAAAACCCTCGGGATCATCATGGGAACTTTCATCTTCTGCTGGCTGCCCTTTTTCATCGTAGCTCTGGTTCTGCCTTTCTGTGCAGAGAGCTGCTACATGCCCGACTGGCTGGGTGCCGTTATAAACTGGCTTGGCTATTCTAATTCTCTTCTGAACCCCATCATATATGCCTACTTCAACAAAGACTTTCAAAACGCTTTCAAGAAAATCTTAAAATGCAAATTCCACAGACCGTAAACGCACAGTGAAAATGATTTGCGTTTTCTCACAGATGTCCAGCAGCTAAACGGACGACAGGAGATGCTCACTGACTGTGTAGAACAGTTTCATTCAGGGACGGTATCTTTTAGGTGTGTGCTAGATGATCGTGTATAAATAAACCACAGAGGAAACGAGATGAGGCAGAAACTTCACTCCTCAATGTACAAGCTGGTGTGACTTCAGTGTGTAGCCATTATATAGCCAATCTGCGACTACAGCCATCATTGTATTGCCATGCAAGACGTGTCTTGTGATGATTTCATGCATTTTATTATAAAGCAAGTGGTTTCCACACCATGAGCTTTGTAGCACTGAAACAATAAACGCAACCACTTAGCTATTAAGAAATCTGAGTGGATTTTTCTTGAGAAAATAAGTACTGAGAGAAAAAAAAGTGGAGTTGAAAACAAATTATTTTATTTATTGTCTTCACAAAGTTATGTCATAAAAGATTAATCATTTACTGTGTTATCCAGCAGTAACGTTGGTGTTTAGTTTAACTTCCCCCTTTGATGCCTGGTGTACCTGCAGCTCTCGGTTGATTGATATCAGAGATATCCCACTATCTTCAAATTTTCAAATTCACTTTAGTCCTGAGATCACAAAGCGATGATAATTTCTTACCCCAAAATAGTGCCTATTGTAATATGTATTTATTTATTCATTGCTTATTGAGATCTCACCCATTCTGCCATTCGATTTCTAATTCCTTGAATGTTTTTTTATATATGGAAAAATAATGCAGAAAAAGAATGAATAAGAGCTTGCTTGAGAAAAAAGAATCCAATGGGAGGGTATAGAATGTTTTTCTCTTGCATTTTATCATTTTGCAGTGGCATTCTCCATAAAGACATCATCAACAGCAACAACAAATCTGTTCTAAGCTTGTCTTACAAACCTAAAATACAACAACATTTTGTGAGTTATTGAAAAAAATAGGTCACATATACATAATGCAAGGCAACATCTTCACTGTATAGCTACAGGAACTCCACACATCTGTCGCATAAATCTCAGACACAAATCCACTTACAAGAGATGCAAAGATAAAGACTGTCAGACACTAACAGAGGAAAGTAGAAAAACAACTTTCAGGAAGAAGGGCCGAAGAGGCCTGCGTGCTGCACAAGATTGGTGGCCATTTGACCTGTTGTCACGGCAACATATCAAGATCCAGGCATAGTGGATTGTTGGAGTGGCGGGCTGGCTGCTGACCAAAGATAGACAGGAATATGAGACAGAGCATGATAATATAGGATAACCTTGAAAAGAAGGATGTTCTGCCAAAAATGTCTGATACTCTGTAGGGAACAAGGCTTGTGCATTTAAAAGGAAAAGAATAAATACTCCCAAATCATAACTAGTTTAAATCTGATTCATCGATTTTTGCATATTTGACCAAACTGCTTTGATGTTCCAGTGGGGTTCATTATTATCTTTTCTTAATCCACACTATTTTTACCTGCAATATGAAAATTTAGCTATTTTAGCAAACAAAAAAAAGGTAACATGTTAAGTTAATATTTTCAAGTAGTTAATTCAACCTAAATGAAACCCTAATATTTGAAAACCCTCTAAAATAATATATAGTTGGTTCAATGGTGAATGTTTGATGGTTCCGAATTGAATCAAGACTTATGAATTGATGCTAATCTTGAAAATTCATCCTCCATCATATAATGCACTTTGTGGATTCATGGAGGTTGTAGATGTATAATATGAATATAATTAAACTCTTCATCGAATAATAATTACACTGAGAAGCCAGAGTGGCACAGTGTTGCAGTGATTAATAATGTTGCTTCACAGAGGGCTTACCTGCTGGCTGATAGTCAGCGTATGCAGACATCCATGTTATCTTGATTAGTGATTCTACACCAACTGCCTGTGTGGGTATGTATGACTGCATGTTTCTTTGAATTAGACATGCGATTGATTGGCTTCCTCTCTTGGGTGTAAATTACCTTCTGCTCTGTGGCAGTTAGGACCACTTTGAGCGCCCAGCAATGATGTAAAACATAAAGTGAACCTATTTTAGCCAGGGGCAGGACACGCCCTGGCCCATCACAGGGTCAAATGGGATGAACAAACACTTTTACTGTACAGTAACGTTAGAATCAATTATCCTGACATGCATGTTGTTGGAAGATTGGAGGGAACCTGAGTAATAGCAGAGAAATGTTTGTTTGTTTTTTCTACATGGCTTGGGGTTACGTTTACCATCTGCCTAGTTGTGCTCAGTGGTGGTTTATTATGATGTCCGTATTTAACAAAATGCTTTCGTAAAAATGAATCAAATGTCTGCGACATCTGGGTCAAATTCTGGGTTTATGCCGGGATCATGAGAACCCGTGGATGATGCGATGTGATCCACTAAGCAGGGAGTATCTCTCTCAGTGAGGAATCAAATTGAGTATGTGAGACCATTAATATCATTACATGTTGGTGTTGTTATGTGAGATTACTAAGCAGCTCAACTGCTTCCAACTATGCTGCTGAAGCAAAGTTTTGAATTGCGATATCAACAACACAAACAATGGAAATCTTGTGTGAATAATTTGGATGATGACAGGAGTTCTTTTTTTTAGAAGAGGAAAAGACATCAGAAGAGTGAAGGATTAGAAAATAATGCCCCATCCTACCACAAGCACGACTGTCAAAATGAGTTAAATATAATTATCTTACAGATCTTCTTACCTTGTCAGATCCTCAAACAGCATCTCAAGCTCTCATGATAAACCATTTGAGTCTAAAAATAAAAGGTTGACGCTCAAAAAGAGAGCATTATAGACTGTAACAGCAGTGGTGATGGCAGCATCCAAAAGTACAGTAGTGTAAATTGAGTTCAGAGTAGTTCTGTATGAGACACTTCTGTATGTCTTCAGTATGGCCAGGCAGAATAGTTAATCAGTTTGACAGACTCAGAGTAACCGCTCTTCAGTCTGGTGGTCCTTCCCCAGATGCTGCCTAACCCCTTACCTGAGGGCGACTTTAAAAACTTTGTATGCGCAGCATGGCTGGAGTTTCTCAAGGTGCAGGCAGCCATGTTTTGTGCACCTGCTGATGTGAATGCCTGAGGTTAGTGGTAATCCGAAAGTCCCTTCGGCAGACTTCACTATTACTGCAGCATCATTATTCACTGCTGTTGTGCTGTTTAAACACACAATGATGGTCAGGGTGGTCGTGTTCTTCATCACACATGTAGAATGAACTTAGGTTGCTTGGGATCAGCTTTTCTGCCTTTAGGTGTTGGTGCGCATTTCTTCATGGTGAATAGGTTGTTTACACCATTTAAAAAATGTTAGTGAGGCGTACCCTGATGTATATAGCTGCCCTGTCAGCATAAAAAAGGGGCAGTGCCAACCTTATAAAAATCCAGCATTAGCTGTTTGGTTTTTTAATAATGTTCGGGATGGGGTTTTACATCGTGTATATTTGCTGCCAGTTAACATTTGGGATGATTCCCACCAAACCAGTGTCAGCTGGGAAGCTCACAATATGGATGTTATTATAGCTAACTAGCAGTTTATAGGATGTGGCTTAGTTAAATCTGTGGTTGGTAAGTCGAAGAAATAAAGAGCTAGGGAATTTCCAGGTCAGTGTCAGTTTGTTCAGCAGTGTTTTGTTGTTAGTTATTATCTGATTATCTGAGTTGATGTTTGGATGATACTAAATGAAATACCCTCAGTATCTCAAACGTGTAAAATTGTATGCTGCAATTCTGTTTTTCAGGCAGTTTAGACATAATGCATTAGAGTGTGAATGCTTAAAAGCATAGTATTGCATTCTAATGCATTTTAATAACAATTCTGAAAGTCAACAGTTTGAAGGAAGAAGTTTCATATGTTGAATATTTTCAAGGACATTCCAACTGTGGGATGAACTGTGACAAGATGAAAGATCAGTGGTTGATCTTTTTATGACAGAGGTTTTGCCATCTTTTTCTTTTCTTTTACAGTAGCTTTCTTTCTTTTGTCTCTTGCATAGGCACATACAGGGGAAGCATGTTAAGTGATTATACTAAAATGCAAGGTTCGTCATTTGCGTGTTTTACTTCACATAAACTGGAAAGCCAGGTTGAATCTGCTCTGACAACATGTTGATCTCTGTGTAAATTGAGGACGGGAGAGTTAAGCATATTTGCCTGAGTAGTTTGTGTGACAATGGAAAATAGGAAACTCCTGTGCCATGAGAGGATAAGCATAAAGCTACAGTACATGCAAAAAAAAAAATTATGTAATAGAAAAAAATCTATGAGGAAAATGCAGAAACATAAACTGGAGGATAAGAGTGGAGAGCTGAGAACCAGAAAGAAACAGATCTAATTGAATGCTTAACTTGTATTTCCAACCCACCCTCTTCTACTTCAGGGTCTTTTTGATCTGTCCTAGAATTTCCAAGGATCTCATGGCCCATCACACATCAGAGGTTCTCTCCCTCTCTCTGTCCAACCATGAGACGGTACATGAAAAGACTCCCACTGACACAAAGAAGTGAGGCTTTTGCTGTTTCCAAATATGTTTCTGTAATAATGCAGGTTTGTCAGAAACAGATCTTTAATCTCAGTTTCTCTAAATGGTCTAAATGATGATGGATAAGATAGCCTCTTGTGTACACATCCACCTCAAATGACTGATTTACCAAGAATGTTCCAGATTTCTCTGGAGTAACCTTCCGCAGCTGTAATCCAGATTAAATTTATTTGATTGCAATCAAATCTCTATTTTGGCCGAATGAATAAAGCAATCTGATAACATTTAGGTGGCGACCATTACAACAGCTCACTCAGTTCTCTTCATGTTCAAGATCAGTGCTTTAAAGCTCCTATTATTACCTCGTCCTTCAGAGTTCACCAAGTAGTAGACCATCTTTTGCTAAATGAAAAAATGTCAAAAGTATTTTGTTGCTCCTAATTCAGATGTGCATATTTGTTATAGAGCTTGCATTCATGGAATCCTTAACACATACATCTCTGA